GGGACATTCAACCACTGGGCCACATCCCCAGACCTATTTTGTATTTTACTTAGAGACAGGGTCTCAGTGAGTTGCTTCAAGCCTTGCTATTGTGGAGGCTGGTTTTGACCTCAAGATCCTCCTGCCTCAGCCTCCCAAGCTGCTGGGATTACAGGCATGTGCCACTGCTCCCGGCTGCTTGTGTTTCTTTATGAAATATTTCAGGACTATGAAAACTAGAGAAAGTAGGAAAATGTTTAAACTTCTCTGTTTTTTCTAGATGGATTAAATTTTCAGAAACAGCAAGTGATTACACTTAGGGCTCCCAGTTCACCAGGCTCCGCTACTTACTAGCGGTACAGCCCTGGGCCTGCTCACTGGCTTCTCGCAGCCCGTGTCCTCAGCTGTAAACCCAGGACACTGACAGCACCTGATTGTTGGGATCGTCCTGAGCCTCAAATGAGGCAACAGCTGTAAGACGCTCAGCTCAGGCAGGACGCTGTAAATGGCAGCTTCCGCTGCCACCGGGTCTGAGGGTGTGGTTGTTCTTTTTGCTTAGAAAAGTCAGCTCAGGAAGCAGCTAGAGGTTGTGAGGATCAGAGGCACTCCCCAACTTTCTGCTCAACCACAATCTGGGGTGAATGTGGAACTCCCTCACCATGCCTCTTTCACTTTTGACACTCTGGGGGAAAAGTCTAGAATTTTATGATAAAGAGGGAAGTCTGAGTGGAACATAGAATGGACTTTCCAGCAGAGAGCTGGGAGTTTTTTGCCAAGATTTTTGGGAAAAGAAACCCATGGGGAGCTTAGTTAGCATCAATCAGTCTGAGGCTGCATCCGGAGAAGCAGAACCCAGACCACCCTTGGAAGGCCTCCTCTGAGCCTCTCTGTGCTCTATTGCTGTGTGACTTTCAGGAGTCACTTAACCTTTCTGAGCTTTCTAGTTAAACAGGACTATTAATACCCATCCAGCAGAGTCTGTGTAAGGAAAAACTGAGATAATGGGGTGAACACTATAAAGCCACTTAAACCAACAAGAGGCAGACTCGGTGACTCTGGCTGTGTTGAAGCAGGAGAGGTGGGTGAAGGGGAACAAGAAAGGGGCCTGATTGCCTGGACTTGTCAGCATCAGGCCCAGAGAAAATGTGGACGAGAGTTAAACAAGAGCTGGCCAGACACATGGCCCCTTCCCTCACTGCCCTGTGCCCAGGCCTCCCAGGCGTCAGGGAGGAACAGGGGCATCTGCAACGGGCGCCAGGTCCAAGCTCAGCAGCCCAAAGGTCACAGGCTTCCTAGAAAAAGAAGGCAAAACTCCTCTTCCCTCCCAGGCTCTCCACACTAACCCCCAGGCTGTTCCCTCTCCCATGTCAGGGTGCCTGGCTCTCACCACCTCCACCAGGCCCTGCTGGGGTCTTCACATAAGGAAGCCTTACAACAGCCCTATTGTACAGACCGGGAAACTGGGCCCAGAGACGGGAACTAACTTATCCCAGGTCTCTCAGCTTCCTAGGAAGCAGTGCCGGAAGTCACCGCAGCTCTCATACGATGGAGAGCAAGCTTGGTATTTAGGAATATAAAAAAGGAAACAAAAAGTAAAGTCTTCTTTTGGAAATTAAATCTGCAAACATGGAAACTGTACACCAGGTGGTCCGATTATTTGGAACCTCACACAGGAAGATGGGAAAACTCCTCCAGTGTGCCTTCGCTAGGCTACACGGCTCAGTGGAAAGCCCGCGGCTTTGAAAGCCTGGAGACCCACAAATTGTGCCAGATATTTCACATAAATTTTATTAGAATTCACAGTATTTTAGAGAGTAAGTGGTATTCTTCATTTTATGCCTGAAATCCAATGTATGGGTAACACGTAATAGGTACATCATAAGAAAAGGCCAGGCATGGTGGCGCACACCTGTAATCCCAGCAGCTCTGGAGGCTGAGACAGGAGGATCAAAACCAGTCTCAGTGATGGCGAGGCCCTCAGCAGTTCAGTGAGACCCCCGTCTCTAAATAAAATATAAAATAGGGCTGGGGATGTGGTTCAGTGGTCAAGTGCCCCTTGGTTCAATTCCCAGTATCAGAAAAAAAAAAAAAAAGGCCAAGTTCTTCACGTGTAACTAATTCTCAGGGAGGTGCTGCCATCCCAGGACAGCTCGGCTCCCATGAGGGGCCTCACCTCTGCACTGCTGCTCTCTAGACCTGCCCTTTGCCATTCACCTGGCAAAATCCCATTCCCCCCTCAAGATGGCTCCCGTCTCTACTCCCGCACGCCTCCCAGACTCCCCAGAAGAGCGGCGTGTGTATGGGATGACTGTAACTTGCTGGACTGAGCCAGGGGTAGGCATGAGCAGCTCCATGCCCAGCCCGACAACTAGGGCGCCGTCTAATTCACCAGCCTCCGCCTGGCACATAAGACATTCTCAGCAGAGGTTTATGGCCTGGAGGGACAAGTGGCTCTCCTTGAGCCTCTCTCAGCCCCTCTGGAGGACACAGAAAGCCCTGCAAGGACCTGAAGCCCCAAATCAACTGGAGAAGTCCCCTCTCCTTTCTTCTCCCCTTTGCACCTTAACTAGGTCTGCAGAGATTCTCCAGAACACCTGGCAAACTTAGGCGGTACAGCAGCGAAACAGGGAGTCTGGATTCGGGGAATGGAATCACTTCTTCACATTAAAAGGCCTCGGTTGGGTTTCAGTTTCAATTTGGGCTTTTGTTTCCTTGCAGCGGCTTGGTCAACAAGGCAGACTCCAGGATGGGGTGGGTGGAGGGGAAAGGAAAAGACCCACACCTTGTAGCAGATTTGGAACACACAGAGATGGGCCTCAAGTCTCCACTCTTCAGCATCTCCCCAGGCCCTGGAGCAGTGATTTGCTGCTGCCTCCACCGCCCTGTGGTGGGATGGCTAGAATCGTTGGGCTGGGCCTGAGGGAAGGGGTGATCAGTTTCCATTCTCCACTCGAGAGGAGAGTTGAGTTACTGTTGAGACTTAATCGTCATCATCATCATCATCACCTCCAGTTGGCACATTTGAATTTCTTAATCTTTAAAAATTGTAACCACCAACGTGGAAGTTAAATCAGAGAACACACAGTTATGTCGTCAGCCCCCAACACACACAGACTCGGCACCCAGGTCTGTTTCCATGGTTTCCTAACAGCTCAGCAGAGTTCAGGTTCACTTCATACACAGATTATGTCACCAACCCCTACAGTCTACCTCTCCCTATGTTCAAACAGAAAACAAAACAGTCTGGTCTCCAGAAGAAACTAAGAGTGACCAAGAACTAGACTCTCATTCTAGAGTTAGAGATGAAAGAAATGTCAAGGTTCCTGAGCATTCAGTCATTTTCCCTGATTTTTGCACAAGAAGAAAAATGGGGGGAGTTTTGCCACATAAAAGAAAGACGTAAGGTGAATTTTCTGGTTCAGACGTTTTAGTGAATATGTTTTGAATGGGGGGACATTAAAAGCCCCTAGAAGCAAGCCAGGCGTGGTGGTGACACCTGTGGTTCCAGCTACTTAGGAAACTGAGGCAGGAGGATCACTTGAGTACAGAAGTTCAAGACCAGCCTGCGCAACAGAGCAAGGTTCTGTCTCAAGAAAATTAAAATTAATAAAAACATAATTTTTTTAAAGAGAGAGAGAGAGAGAGAATTTCAATATTTATTCTTCAGTTCTTGGCAGATACAACATCTTTGTTGGTATGTGGTGCTGAACCCGGCCGCACGCATGCCAGGCGAGCGTGCTACCGCTTGAGCCACATCCCCAGCCAACATAAAAATGTTTAAAAAGCCACTAGAACTGATTTTTTTAAGTAAGAACAGTATTACAATTTCTGGAATTTTATTATAAATGGGATTTTTACAATTCTCTGTCAAACCAATCCTAAAGTTTAAGGCTTTTCCTAACTAATGTTAACTGTTGTTTCATGTGAAAGCAGCTTTCCAAATTAAAATTAACAAAAAATGTTATTTAATCAACTGTAAGCAAAGATGGACTGAGAAATCTAGCTATACTGAATACTGAATATGAATATGCAAAGAAAATAAATTTTGACCATGTCACAAACAGCTTTTTCAGAAGTTTCCAAAACAGAAATTATAGCATTATAATTTTTCATTACTGTGATCAACCTGCATATAAGAATAAATTTTCCCTTTTTTCAAAAATACATTAATGTAACTAAAAACTACTAATCCATTACTTTTTTCTGGGTTTTTTTTTTTTTGCTATTACCTTTATTTTTCATTTTTCATTTTTTTACCTCATGATTCCATACACAAAGTCCAATAAAAGAAAATGTTCACTGTCCACATTTCTTTTCTGGCTGCTATTATCATTCATATTATGACTATTGCTGAAAGTAATGTTGTTCGAGGAGAGGGATATTAAAAAGTGTCACACATGCCAGGTATGCCCAGCTCTTTACTTGGATTGAAATAATAATGATGATGACTAATTACCGTCGGGCATTCAATATGTGTGCCAAGTATTGTTCAGAGCACTTCCTAAATTTTAAGTGATATTCATTCTGGGGTACAGAAATCCCAGCGAGGTACTTGATGACCTATCACAAAAATCTGTTCTCTAACCACTCTGCTGGGTCCTGCTGGATGACGGGAAGCCTCCGCAAAGCCCCCTACCCCACATCACAGGTTAGAAAGACCAACAGCGGGACTGGGAAGGTGCTGGCAGGACTGGTCACCGCGCAGTCAGCTGACTGGGGGAGGCCCCTGCGCAGCAGGTCCAGCCTCAGACATTGAGGCCCAGGAGCCTGTCCGACCAGAAAGGCAGCCCTTGTCCTTAATGGAGAGACCTCTCTACTGCCATCCTGTTCCCGAGGGTCCTGCCTTCCACCAGGGCTGATTCAGGCAGGGCAGCCCCCAACCTGACCACGCGTTGGACGAGAAGTCCTGAGAAAATTCCAAAAGTCCCCAGAAACGAGGATCCTCCCTCCAGGCACGAGGACTCAACAAATTACCATTAGGACACGACCCGGTCCCCATGCTCCCTGGCCCCCACACTTACAATGGGCGCGCGCATCTTCTTTCGCGACGTGGACCCTCGATGTCAGGCTGGATTTCACTTCTCAGTGGCCCTAATGCCTGAGGAAAGGGGAGCAGGAATGCATTAGGCCACCAACAAGAAACAGCGTCCTCAAGACCCCAGAAGCCAGCGGCTTCTAGCCTGGAGCCCTGGCGAGGCTCGTCGCTGACCCCTCGGAATAACCACCTGACCCCCCCCCCCCCCCCGACTGAGGTCGGACCCTCCAAGCCCTGCACTGGACTTGTCCCTTGCAGGGGTCTGGATGGTTCACCTGAATGGTCCGCTCGGGGTTGGAAAGTCAGCGGCGACTGTCACGCCATCGGGGCCACTGCACCCGCCCTCGGGGCTCCCCCTCCTCCGCGCCCGCGGTCCCCGCCCCGCGATCCCCGGGCGGCTGCAGCTGCTCGGCTGCTCACCTGACTTGTTTACTCCCGCTCCACTCAACTCCTGTCTCCCAGGCAGCCCTCGGGGACCGCGAGAGGCACCCAAGCTTCTCACCTTTCCTGTCGTCCCAGAAACAATCGCTCCACCCACCCGGCGGACTTGGGAGGCAGGCCAGCGGCCGCAGCAAAGGAACCAGCTTAAGGGCCGCAGAGCCCCGGCCAGCGCGAGGTCACCCCGCCCCTCCCCCTGTGACTGGCTAATGACAGCCTGGCCGAGCTCTGACCCAACCCCTACAGACAGCTGGAAGCCTCCCGCTCCAGCCGGCCGGCGGGGCGGTCTCTCTCCATGCCCTCCTCTGACCCGAGGCTGCAAGTATTTAACCACAGGTTGTGTTGCATTTGATCTTTGTATACACAGCACACTGAAGTGTTGGGATCGATTTACTTATCTCCTCTAGAGAAGTATAGTTTAAAAAGTGACAGTGTAAATAAAATAAATATATATGTATGTGTGGATGTGTGTGTGTGTATAGATCCTGTTCTTATTTTAACTTAAAGGCACTTAAAACAACAGGTGCAAGAAGATCATTCTAACCTCTTTTTTTGAGGGGGGTGGGGGAATAATACAGTATTTTATTTAATCTATTATTAATGAATATTTGAAAACATTTACAATATTAATTAAAATTTACCTGGGCTGGGGGTTGTGGCTCAGTGGTAGAGCGCTTGCCTAGCTCAGGTGAGGCACTGGGTTTGATCCTCAGCACCACATATAAATAAATTAATGAAATAAAGTTGTTCCATCTACAACTAAATATATATATATATATATATATATATATATATATATATATATATATATATATATAATTTGCCTAAGAGAAGGAAAACTTCCTTTATTTACATTTCAATATTAATAATAAGATATCAATATAACTATGGTCAGAATCATTGTCAAAAACATCATGCTTGACACAATTCAGTTTTTGTATAAAGTTCCTTGCCTGCAAGAAAGTACATTTGATTTACTTCACTCTTAGGAATATCTCTTAATGCTAGGATGGCCCCTTCTTGGTACTTCTTCAGCTGTTGATTTTTTAGCATAGTTATCTGTGATTGTATGAATGGAGTTGAGTGGAGAAGTACTTATCCTGTTAATTCCAAATAAGAGTACATAATCAGTTACTATAGTAATAAGAAGATAGAGAGATAATTCGACCGCCCACTATTTTTGAGGCAACTAGATTGAGCCTAAGGAGCTTAGCCAAGATTCAGGAATAGGAGCCCACATAAGATAAAGCACCAAGCCAAACTGGGAGCTTAAAAAAGAACAAAGCCATAAATTGCATGGCAACAGTGAATTTTCCACCATTTTTCCTGGGGCTTTGGTCAATCTCAGAGCCCACTTCTCTGCATAAGCTTTGGCTAGGGAGCTACAGTTGGGGAGGAAGAGACCAACTCCAAGGTCTTTTAAGTTTCTTAGAAGCAAATGAACAGGGCACAGTGGCACATACCTCCAGAGACCCGGGAGGCTCAGGCAGGAGGATCCAGGTTGGAAGCCAGCTTCAGCAACTTAGTGAGACCACATCTCAAAATAGAAAGGGCTGGTGTAGTAGCTCAGCAGTAGAGAGCCTATGGGTTCAATTGCCAGCACAGGAAGGAAGAAAGGAAGAGAGGAAGGGAGAAAGGGAGGGAGCAAGGAGATGAAATTCCTATGTCAAAGCATTCTCCCTGTACTAGAAGGAAGAGCAACACCTTTCCTCAAGAAAGAGAATTCAAATGGAAAAGAATTCTGTATAGACTTTGTTAAATAAGACTTCAGGGCTGAGGATGTGGCTCAGCCATAGAGCAATACCCTCGATTTGATCCCCAGCACTGGAAAAAAAAAAAAAAAAGCAACTAATGATGATGATAATAACGCTTTTATATTTTAAGTCTCCCCACATGATTTAGGTGCTTCTTTGTCTGAGTCAGTGTGTAAGGAACTGACTCTGCTTTTTGGGTCTTCATTTCTTTAGGAAATCTCCTGTGCCACAGAAAACTGTATTAAAGACATTTTGTATGCTTTTCCCCTGCTATCCTATCTTGTGTCAATTTTATTCTCAAGTCCAGCTAGGACCCTGAGGGTAGAGGTGGAGTTTTTCTCCTTCCTATAAAACTGTATTAAATGTAAAGCTATTGAAAGACAAGAAAGGAACCAGATGTGGCACACACCTGTAGTCCCTGCTGCTAGGAGGCTGAGGCAGGAAGACCACTTAATCCCGGGAGTCTGGGGCCACCCTGAGCAACATAGCAATACCTCCACTCACTGGGTCTTAAGCCATAGGATACCAATACCCTCCACAGAACCTGACACAACAGCAGGTAAACGAGTGATTGAAAAGATGAACAGCCACACACAGGCCTTTTCTCTGCACTGAATTCTGACTCCCTAAAAGTAGAACCAGCTTCTTTTGTCTCTCTACTCCTGCCATTGCATGCCAGCACTGAGCCTTGGGGTCAGGATGCTTGGGACAAATCCTGCCCCTGACCCTTGGTGATTGTAGGGCCCAAGGCAGAGTTCCCTCTTAGTCTGTTTGCTAATCTGTAAAATTAGGTGATATTAGATAACACATAAGAATACATTCCCCAAAGGGAGAGCCACACATGAAATGATGCTTATAAAGTGCTGAGCCTGATGTCTGGCATGTGGAAAATTCTTGGAAAATCCTTGATCGGGACACACAGGCTATTAATAACATGAGAAGAGTCACATGCTCATCATCACATGATATTCACCAGCTTCCTGAGAATAAGAGTCAGAGGTAATATAAATAAGTGCTAGTTTTATGTATATTATTACTCAACCAACCCATTGCTGAGCACACTGAGCTAGTGACTGTCGAATCACTAGGATGGAGAAGGGGCCTGTCAGATCAGCCGAGGCAGGCAGTGACCAAAGGAGGCAGATTTAAAAGGGCCCCCGAATGAGGCTTTATTGAGATATCACTCCCAAGCGGAACTCCATCAGACCCACAGAGTGGACAGGAGAAGGGTCTGAGGAGAAACCGTGTGGAAGCTTGACAGGACTGGACTTTTATGGGGCTTACAGCAGGAAGGGAAGGGCTTGGGACAGGAAAAGGTGTTTTTAGGGTCCCTTGTCCCTTTGGAGTTGGTCAGGGGAGTTGGCTGAACTCCAGGATTGGCCAGGGGTTCCTGCTGATTGACAGGCGTTTCTCACCGCACCTAATTGATGTTCCTTTCCCGTGGCTGCTTTGTTCTAATTCGCCTCTAAGTTGCCACCGACCTAACAGTGCCCTTTTGATGTTGCTTTTGCAAGTGCTGGGGATGGGCCCCAGGGCCTCGTGCATGCAAGGCAAGTGCTGTACCTCCAAGCTACATCCCCAGCCCAAGAAGTTCTGTCTTAAGGAAACCAAACAGACTTCTGCCTCTCCTCACCCTCTGCTTCCAGAAGGGTCTAAATGTTACCTCCCTTACCCTTTGTCCTATTGCTGTGCCAGACAAAAGCAAATAAAGACAAAAGGCTGGGAGTGCAGCTTGGGGCTATAAATTTTTACTTTTTTTACAGCTTAAAAAGAGGAGCTCTTGGGCTGAGGTTGTGGCTCAATGGTAGAGCACTTGCCTGGCATGTGTGAGGCACTGGGTTCAATCCTCAACACCACATAAAAATAAAGGTATTGTATCCATCTACAACTAAATATTAAAAAAAAAGCTCTGTAAGAAGGCCCCAGATCTTAGTGAGAAACTGCTACTTGATGCTACCACCATCACTAGCAAGACTATCCACTTTAATCTGTTTTCTATTGCTTATAATAGATGCCTGAGTATGGATAATTTATGCAGGAAAAGTTTATTTGGTCTACAGTTCTGGAGACTCATAAGTCCAAGACCATAATACCAGCTTCTGCTTGGCATCTGGCAATGGCCTTATATTGCATCATAACTTGGTAAGGACATTACATGGCAAGAGACAGCAAGAATCTAAAGAACCCATTAATCCATGAAGGGGCTGATCCATTCATGGAGGTTCTGCCCAGTCACCTTCCAAAGCTTCCACCTTTCAAATATCATTAACATCTTGAAAGGATAAAAGAAATTGAAGTTAAAATGTAAAGGACCGGGTATTGTAAAGTTTCTAAGCTGCAAAGCCTGAGTTAAAATGTAAAGGACCAGGTATTGTTAAGTTTCTATGCTACACTCAAAGCCTGAAATTCCTGTAGCTGTTAGGACAATTCCCGGGACTGCCCATTAAATAATCCCCCCTGACCACTTAGTTGTTTAACAACTTGGACCCTGTGCAGCTAGGCACGTAGGCACCTCAGGGCCCAAACCAATCAGTTTGAATGTATCCCCCTCCTTAGGAATGACCTATCACTCCAGCCCGACCTGTTCCCGCCAATGAATGTACTAATCATGTTTGAGAATTGTTGTTTGATTTTCCCGTGGTGTATGGTGATTTGTTAAAGGGGACTGTGATGTATGTAAAGTCCCTGCTCTCCCTAAAGAAGTGTACTTAAGCACTGCTCAACCCCTGCTTGGGGCTCTTGGCCGCTCTCCCTTCTTGAGTGAGCCTGGAGCCCCAGCACGCTGGATCCTCAATAAACCCCCTTTTGCTATTGCATGAGTTGGTCTCTTGGTGGTCTCTTCCTCCGTCGTTCCCCGGACCCTTACAATCTGACTTCGGGGATTCAGTTTCCAAAATACGAAATTTGGGGAACATTTTTAAACCTTAATACCCCTACACCAAGGGAAGTGAACAGAATAGAACCAATATCTGACCCTAAAGCTTCTACATAGCTCAGCTATGGAGCCCCATTCTTCTGAAAAGGGAAATACTAATTTTTAAGTATTTGCTGTCTTCTCCACGCTTATGTCCTAATGAGGATGGATTCACTGTTCTTAGTCTGAAGGAGTAACTGAGCAAGGGGAAAACGGCTCAAGGCTAAATTGATGTGCAGGCAAGAAACATCCCTTGGGGCAGGGTAGAGAGGAAGGCCAAGGCAAAGGAGGGAAAAGGGAGAGGGTGAGGAGAGAGCAAAAGCAGGTAAGATGCATTTAAGGGGAGGCTTAAATGTTCCAGATGCTTCTTTACACACTAGGAACAGATTCTGTGGTGACATGAGGGACTCTATTGATTAACAACTCAAAACGGAAATACTCCTTAGGGAAAAAGCATTCATCAGCCAAATGAATACAGGGTTTACAAGTGTCCAGGCTGTTGTAAGGCTTGGTGAATGTATCAATTTTGACAGTTTGCTCTGACCAAAAACGTCAGGCTTTTATGAAAGATGATGAAGGATAACTAATAACTTCTTTCCTATCTCTCAAACACCCTCAAGCCCTGCTAAAAAGAGAAAAAAAAAAAAACCCTAGTGAAAATGCTCTAAAGAGCTGTGCAGCATAACTAATATCTACCCCCTCTTTAAAAGTACATTTCAAAACCTTTAACCTGGGAAACGTGCCGGGTTCTCTCACTCCCATGTTTGCGAAATGGGCCAGTTTGAGTAACTAGTAACTTAAGTGGGTATTTGTTTTGGTCTGGCCAGCAGTCTTCACTGGGTATCTCTGTGTGGTCCTAGTGGAGTTGCCAATCACAGTGCCTGTGACCTGGCTGTGACTGGTAAAGGTGGCCCAAGTCCCCAGGCTACAGTACTGATTGCAAGAAGCATGACTCACATCACACCAATCAGGTGTCTTCTCTGGGAATGGAAATACATTTTTAAATAGACAACTTAATTAAAAGCCTCTTTCCTTTGGGGATATTTAAGTGTAATGACATAAGCCTAGAACCATCTATCTGCCCTCCCCTAGGGCATTCAAGAAACCCATCTGCAACAACAGATAATTTGGCCACTGTTGGTCCTGTTGGTCTCTTGAGTCCCTTAAGTGCCTGTTGTCAGTTTTGGCCCTAGAAATCCAGTTACAAAAACTTTTTCCCAGCTACAATCCTGTTTTTGGATTAAGAGTTGAACTTGTTTTTTTGCCACCTGGAACAGGAGAGTCAAAAGCAAGCCATAAATTTACTGGACTCATCCATGCAGGACCACACACCTCACCCTGCTCACTCCTCCCAACCTTAAGCTGGTGGGGGCAACACCACCAATGGAAGCACCCAATCCCCCCCACCCCCTCCACCCCATCCCTTGCCAAACTGAAGAACCCTGCTGGGCACCCAGGATAGCATTTTACACAAGATCACCACATCAGGAATGGAGAACTAGGCAGATGAAAGCTGCCTACTCCACTCAGTGTGCTTCAAACTCTTTTACCATAGGGCAATATAGGGGATGGCCAGCTATTAGGAGTGGAGTTTTTTGCCACCTCCAGGATCACCTGCAGAAGGGAAACCTTTCAGCAGAGCTTTGCCTCTCACCTTCCCCATATCCAAAAGGGAACCATTTAAGCTATTGCCTCCAAACAGAGCAACCAAATCAAAGTGCAAATCCAAAGGTCCTCACAAGTCCACGTTACTGTACATAAAGTTTCCCTTCACTTTTAAGCTGCTGTGCCAACAGCACTATGATAATAAACACCAGATCATGATGACTGTGGGACTGAGAAAGCTGGCTGACAGGAACCATACCACAACCCCTCGACAGATCCCCCCCCCCTGAGATTCTACTCCCTTTGCCCATCTCACACTCACAGGTCCTTACATGCTACAGAACAAGAAAAACAGCAACAAGGTACTGTGATCTTTATTCCATTAAATGACTGGGAGTAAAACAGAAACATGCTTTTAATATACTAATGCATAATCTCATTCCATTGCACTTTTTAAAAACTATATTGAAATTTGAAGCCATCCAAAAGCAAGGATCTAGCAGAACATAATTTTAACAAGTCATTTTTTAAAGAAAAGAAAAAACAAAACTAAGGAACATTTGTATATGTTCAAGATTTAACCCCTTTAAGGTTTACATCCATGATAGCTTTTGTCCATCTGAATTAGAAAGTTTTGGGAATCACTACAACCTTCCTTTCATCTTAAAAACAGTACATTTAAATTTTATTTGTCACATGAAATTCCTTCACAAAGAAACATTTTTTGTTTTTCAAAACTCTTCTGCCTCTTGATCTTAGAAAGTTCCTGATATGGGGTACTTCAGCTGCTAATTATCTGTTTTAATCCCATCCTCTTTTTTTGTTCATTATTTTTTTTGTAGTTTGTTTTCTGTGTGATTTAGGAATTTGAGTCACAGTGCTGAATTTGGCTTTTTAAAAGAAAAACGGTTATCAAAATTACATTTAAAAAAATCCTAATTATACTGTTAGTATATAAGATACTTGTTACATTCGTTTATTTTCTCTTAGAAGGCACTATGACGATTTTGAAGAACAATCCTCTGGATTAAGGCACCCTTATTATTCTGAACACAGTAAACCCTTGGTGATTGTAGCTGACAGCAGACCGCTGATCCTGAAACTCAGGTTTAAGAGCTGTCCACCTGCCTCCAGACAACACCAAATTTTCCTTTATTGGTACTTTCCACCCTCTGGGTTAGTCTCCTTGTGGTCTCTGAATCACAATATGTTTATAAAAGTGACGATTCCAGGGACATAGCCCAGACCAACAGAGGCAATCCCTGGGTATAAAGCTGAGGATCACAGAGTTAAGTCTTAAATGCACTCCAAGGCAAATGAGAACCACTACCCAAAATACAGCTACAATGAGACTTTTCATAACAGGAGGAAAATTGCTAAAGTGGAGTCTTTTACAATGGGCTTCTTAATGTCATTTAAAAAAATTACAGATAGTTTGTACTTTTAATAACTGAAGCTTATCTTCATTATGCCCTTATCCCTTGACTAAAATTTTGTTGGATCCAAATGTAAACTGAAATGACACAGCCCATGTTGGCTACCTTCAGTGGAAACATCAAATCATCCTGAGCCACATTCCAATAGTTCTACAAAAGAAAAAAAAAAAAAAGATCAGTTCTATGAAGAAGACTTAACAAATGTTTCATCTTTTTTTTTTTTTTTAATCCTGGGGGAGGGCTATTTTATTGTTTTTGTCTGGGTAAAATCAACCTACCTAATTTCTCTAGAACTCTCATACATATCTGTGCTCATCCAAACATACCCTATCCAAGGCACCATTTTCATAAGCCAGGTTAGAAACATTCTGTGTTGACTTGCTAGAGAAAGTACTCCAAGTACAAGGCAGTGTTTTTGTTTACTTGCCCAAAGTAAGAGGAAAAAAATAGAATAAATACAACAAACAATAAGCAATTTTGTTAAAACATAAACCTCCATGGAATAAGCAGATATTTTTGGTATACCATTTAAAAAAAAAAAGTGACAAATGTGAAAATTTTTATCACCATACAGTATAACAGTTTGCCCTGTCTACAAACTTATCTAGAAATATCTCTCAGTGAAAGACTCAAAACTTCGATTCTACTATTTTAACTATAAGCAAATTGGAACTATTAAAACTGGCATGCCGGGTGCGATGGCTCAAGCCTATAATCCCAGCGGCTTGGATAATCCCAGCGGCTCGGGAGGCTGAGGCAGGAGGACTGCAAGTTCAAAACCAGCCTCAGCAATAGCAAGGTGCTAAGCAACTCAGTGAGACTCTGTCTCTAAATAAAATACAAAATAGAGCTGGGGATGGGACTCAGTGGTTGAGTGCCCTTGAGTTCAATCCCTAGCACCCGCCCCCCCCAAAAAAAAAATTGGCAATTTCTCCTGAAATGAGTTATTTTAACGGAATTTTAAAAAAATTTCCACATACAGTTTAATAAAAATCTGCTCCATATATTGTTAAGAAAGTGCAAATTAACGATGTGTGCATGAATGTCCACCAGCAGTGACAGAGCAGTGAACACTGATTCTTACACAATAGCCCAAACAAAGCAAAGACTGAAGGGGGAAAAACTGGAAAAGACATTTTCAACCTGGTTATAAGCAATGAGAAGACATCTTTCATGAAAAGGTTGATATAAAATCATCAATTTACTGTTAAAAGAGAAAAGAGGCCAAAAAAAGAGGCCAAAGAACTGTCACACAAAACTTTACATAAACACTTTCCAGAGGCAGAGTAAGGTAACTAAAAACAATGAAAAAAACTCAAGAGTAATTCTTGTAAAGGTTGTTCCTGTAGAAGACCAAAACAGAAACGGTGAATTAAACAGGAACAAAATCCTAAGACATTATTAAATCATACACTTTTTTAAAAAGAAACCAAATACTTCTGTATTAGAATAAAGAGATGCATCATCATCCTCTGTCACTTTTAAATGTAGAACCACTTTGGACAATTATTCTGAAATCTGTAAATTTACTTACATGTAAATTTACTTATAGAATTCATTAAAATTTTAGTTATCAGAAAGGCCTGTAAGTATGAACCTTCAGAGAGATGAGAAGTCACCTCAAAATGCACCAAAATTTCTAAAGTGAGCTTTCAATTTATTAGTCAAAGCTTGTTTATCACTCAGATGCAAGTGAACAGCTTTTAGAACAAGCTGAAATTTTTCTAAAATGTTAACAGAAAGTGAATAAAATAGCAAGCACTTCAAGACAAGATGGTATGTAAATATGAAAATATGTAAAGGGCTTAGAATTAATTCAGGATTTATAAAAATACTTGAGAGGTAAAGTGTTTTGTCAAAAGAAAATTCCCTGACAGCAACTGAATGCTATACTTTCTTTTTTCTCCTTTCCATTCATACTTCATGTATATAAAATTTCCAGTCAGGTTTTGCCTAAGCCCTCCAACCTCCCTCCCACAACAAAAATCAAATTATCTTAAAAATAAAGGTTCATATACCTGAATGTTTATATAAATACTTGTAGGCAAGTTTTAAAATCTGTAATTCATCATTATAAATCAAAGAAAACAAAGCAACCAACAGATAAAACTTTTTCATCTCATAAAGTAAATTTTTTTAAAAACTCATAGATAATTCTAGATACTATCTATATTTGGGTAGGACTTTGGTCCTTCCTAAGCCAAAGTTATTCTAAAGCTACTAGACTAATGAACACTAAAAGTAAATACAGGAAGACTCATGAAGTGAAATTAACAATTTTAGCTTCGTTATTAAGAACATTAGTGCATAGAAGAATATAAATAAACAGTTTGGGCAAAGACTTTAAGTCAGGTAATTCAATTATTAATTACTGTTAAGTCACTTGAAAAAGGACATTAAAGGCATTAATATTTGGTAATCTTTCCTCTAATCCTTAATATAAAGTTCTATACTCATGCAAAACTCAAAACCAAAATATCTCAAATGACAATTTTGTTTGAGAGCTACGTATAACATATACATGTTATAAAAAAATAAAGGCACAAGTTCAAGTGACTGACAGACGTTCACAGGTTCATTCAAACTCAGCTTTTTCCTCAAAGTATCCATTCTCATTCCTCTTATTATGGGCTACTCTGGTTTTTCAGGCATGTTTACCTCTGTACTAAAAGCCATCGGAAAAAAAATAAAGCAGATTCAACAAAACTACCAAGCTATCAAGTAAAAGACCTTATATTTTAAAGTATGTATATTTAAATATGATATGGTTTTCCCATGGCATATGGCAAACAGAATCTTAAAATTATAAATAAGATTTTAAAAGTGTAGTGGCATCATTTTCAGTTATTCTTTAGTTCTGAAGCTTCTCCAAGTTTTGTAAACTTTTTAAAAAAGGAAACCATCTCAAATGAGTAAGGTATGTAAGAATTGACAAGTTTCACCCACAATAGCACATTTTCATGAGGTTATCCTCCATCTCTTCCGCTTTGTGTCCACAAAAGCATGGATTCAATCTTAAAAGGCACTAGAGTGGCACATAAAAGACTTAAAAGCTGCATTTCCACATTTTTCTTTAGCTTCCCCCACTGCCTATAAAGTGCACAAAGCAGAGAATAACAAGACAGATATGGACTTGGATCTAAGAGCAAGAAAAGGAATGCTTCCAACAGAAATGGAAATGTGTTTAAGAATTTGAAACCACAGAAGAGGTCAGTTCATTTATTGCAGTTCCCTGTTGCAGCTCTTGCCAGATGGTTTCTGATCTGCCCTTCCTCTGGACCTGGACCCAGGGCCATGAAGAGATCCAAGAATCCAGGAACTGGTCGGGCTCCTGCTGGATCAGTTAAGATGCTATTGAGCTTTTTTATCCATAGGTGGTCTCCCAACAACTGCATCCCTTACAGCAGCTTGAGTAGAATTACCAATATGAGAAGAAACCTGCAAAAGTCCATTTATTCAATATGTAAGTTAATGAAATACAACACAGAACCCAAGACAGTCCTTGGAAATAAACTTTCCTCATCAGTATGCTGCCAAAAGAAGGAAAATGAGAATGCAGGGTGAGGGGAGGCTATGGCAGCAGCTAACTCCCAAGAGTCAGTGGAGCATCTGCCCCATAGCTGGGGAAGTGTGGGTGGCTTGCCTGGTTTCATATGCTACTTGACCTAACTGATCTGTTCATGTTACTCAGGAAAAGAAACAAGCCAGGCTCAAAGATCTGTAAGATTTGGGGCTAGGATTGTGGCTCAGTGGTAGAGCACTTGCCTCACACGTGTGAGGCACTGGGCTTGATCCTCAGCACCAAGTAAAAGTAAAAATAAAGATACTGTATCCATCTATAATAAAAAAAAGATCTATAAAATTGGAGAACATGCCAATGCCAAAAGCCACTGACTCTTTTTTTTTTTTTTTTGGTTGCAGTTGGACACAATATCTTT